TGTCTCGGTTGCCGCACGAGGGTTTTCCACTCAAGGCCGTCCATCGTTCACCTTGGAGGCTCCGAAGGGGAACAAACACCAACACTTCACCCACCTTACTCCCCTGCTATTCGGACCATATGGAACCCCAAAACCACTGGGTTGGTCTTCGGACAATGGTCTTCAAGCACAGTGGTCAATTCTCAGGTTCCATGTTGTTCCCATGTTTCGGTGGCGTAACCCCTTGCCGTCAGAAGTGGTACTATTTCGAAATAAACACCTATGACTCGTGACCAACTGAAACCCAACAAAACGGCAACTACCTACGGGCAGTTCGAGTATCAAAGCAGTTCCATCCACATCCTCTTGGGCTGTCATGTTGCCTGGAACATCCACGAGACCACCTGTGTCCACCTGATTCAAGTCTTTAAGGTCAACCACTGGGCAGGAGTGCCTACTAACAGGGTAGAGGTCGAAACCAACTCCAGAGTCCAAAGTCTATAATACTTAGTTTGTCCTCTTTAAACGATAGTCAAAACCTCAAGCTACATGCTGGATCAGGGCTTCAGGTTTTGATTCATCCCCACATACTAAACTGTGTTGATAAGTCTGGTTAAGTGAATCTATTGGGACTTGCGGAAACGTGGAACCGGAACACATAAGCACTTCAGCCTTGAAGCAGGTCAATACCTCATCAATTGAGAATCCCTCCTAAGCTTTGCTACTGGAAAGTCAAGTTCAACTTTCTGCATGGTTCCTTTTTTTCAATTGTGGTGGTTGGCTCCAAAAGAAAGATACATGAACTTTATATGACTCAGACCAACGAGCCGTTTCCCTGTCAACAAGGCGGTTAGCCCCAAAAAACACGTTCCATCTGTCGGATTTTTTTGTGGGATGTCCCCAATCGCCGGCAAAAAGGTCACATGCAGGCTTGCAGGTGATGGCCTCCAACCTGAGAGCAATGGCCTCCAACCTAGTAGGTCATGCGGAACCTTCTCAGCTGGATCCCCTTCCCTCCCCTTCGACGTTGCCCAGCCGCTGGGCAGGTCCGTTACCTGGACCACGGCTTCCAGCATGGTGTCCTCACGGGTCGGAGGAGGCGCCGGTCGAGCCGGTAGACTCAAACGGAAGAGGTCTTTAGCCGTCTTTCGCAGCTCAAACTCGATCCCAACTGCTAAGGCTAAATGCAATATGTCCCATCATTCCCATGTTATAGTCAGTGGAGTTTCAGAAGTTGGTGCGGTATCGTTCCTGTAGAATTTGATGTTTTCTTTGTGTGTTCTGCGGCCTTTTCCCTTTTCATCTGGCAGATCCTGAGGATCCCATTCCAATTATGTACATCCTTGACTTTCCTGAGTGGTGATATATGAAGTACATGAACGGAGGCCTGGGTGACGGCCCAACTAAGGCGATTGAAGAAAGTCATGCACTGTTGGAAGACTGTGTTAGGTACTGTTCATAGGAAACATCCTGCACCACCTGAGTTGATCTTCCTCTGTGGCGACAGGTCATGAACACCCACCGCCACTACCCTCCGAATAAGGTCCACTGGCGGGTGGGGGGGGTGGCTTTGACCCTCCTGACAAGCTCACATACGCAAAGGCAGCCTGTGGAGAGCAAGCAAGTTCCATCCGGCACATGTTACACGTCAAAGCAATGAAACACATGCAGGTACAACAATCCAGTGAAACTGTTTCCTTCAAAGTTGCATTTTTTTCTTGGAGACTGACATCATTGGCACATGAAGACTATGATGCAGCATTCTGTTCAAACAAAGCTGCTTGATCTACCATCCCTCCAACATACCTGCCTTTCATGGACCATGAGGCGCCAACCGCATGAACTCAGCAAACTACGTTTGGTCACCGTTGTCTCAATCGATCCGGTTTCTGACATTGTGGGTACATCTCTAGGTGCCTGTCACATGCTTTTTTCTATAGTGACTGTAGTCTCTACTTGAGTGGCAGCCATGTCCTGCATGTCCCCCAACAAAATGAAGAACGAAACATGTGTCCCATGTTACATTGCAAACGTGGATGACACATTCACCGACCTCGACTCGACTGAAAGAGCAGGTCCTCACAAGAAGCCCATGATAGCATAAGCCTTTCAAGGACATGTTGTCCTCAATGTTGAGCTGCAAAGTGAAGCTACTTGGTTGTTTAGTTTGGACACTTGTTCCCGTGGCAAGTAGTAGGGCAATCCAACAAACAGCACTGATCGGTCATGGAGAGACAGGCGTGAACCCACCTGGCGTTCATCCTGTGTTTCAACATGCTCGAGGAGCTCGCGTTGGAAGGCCCCAGTGGAATGTGGTCTACTTCAGGATGTAACATGGAATGTACATTCCATGGATGTACATGTATGTACATGGAATGTAACTCAATGTTTGTACATGTACAAAACTAAATGGAATGTACTAAGATGGATCTTTGTACATGCTGTAACACTGCAAGCCCTCTCATGGCTAAGCGGTTAACGGCGACTTGCTAAAATCCAGTTCGATCTGGCTGGATTTGCCTAGGCCTAGCATTTGACAGGTAAGAACTGTCCAAAGGTTCAACATGCTCCCCTCCAATCATGTTGAACCTCTCCCAGATCCCATGTTTTGTCATAAGAGACAAGTTCAACATGTCTTCCCAGTTATATGTCACAAAAATGAGTTGGAGGTCCTGTATTATGACTGTGAATTCTCTGACGATCAAGAACGGGTGACTAGTACGCAAGCTGCAAGGTTCGTTGTACTTGATGCCAAACCTTGGAAGTGTCATGAAGGGGCTGCACACCATGTCGTAGGTGTGGTCTGTTGTAGGCGCCAAACATGTCTTCAATATTGTTCCATTCAATACAAAGCAGTAGTCTTATCAAAGTACTTCTGAAAACAGGCACTCCAACAGAGTTGATGTCCGCTGTCCGCTTGCTTCCAAGTTCGTGTGATCTCTTGGAACAACTATACCCGGGTAGACTAACATGGACCCTGAAAACCACTGGTTGGTAGAGGAAAACCCTCTTCCAGGGGGTCAGGACGTCAGGGTCTATGTTAGTTTTCTGGTGTGTAGGTGTTATATGGTTTTATGCTCATATTGACTCAATATGCAGAATCCCTAAGCTGGCCCAATTGTCTTGCTGGCCCAGATGTCTTCGGGAGTGTAATCATGCTCAACATTGATGTCTCGAGGAGGTTTTCTGAGATCGAAGACTGGTCGAAGAAGCCCACGGAGGTTTCGTCCGCAAGACTTGTCACCGTCGGTTTGAGTCTCCAAAGTGAGGGAGTCATGAACTACTTTTGCCGTTCTTCAGTCCAAAGGGCATCGCTACTAGTATAGTTAAGTTTTCCCTAAACATCTAGGAACCAAATCATTAGCACCAGCTATCCTGCGTGTCCATACTAGTAGCTTAAGTTAGCTACTAGCTATATATACATAAACCTCCGCGGCCTACCCCTCCCCGCGCGCGCGCGCGCGCGCGAAAAAGCTACTACTAGCTACCTCTAGCTACTAGCTACCCCTAGCTACCTCCACTCGCGGCCTGCCCCCCTAAACAAAACTAATCATGAACTACATCTGCCGTTCTTCCAAATCCCAAGGGGCCGCATATGGGGGTGACGTATCCGAGTCCCCATTGGTGCATGGACAAACCAACCAGAACTCATAATAAGGGGTCGCGTACTTCGACTAGGAACCACATGGTCCGCAGCAACTGATCAGGATTTTTAGCCGCTCTTGTGATACACAGAGTGCCCCCAAGAACCTCTCTCACAGTGCCGGAGGATCCCTCACGGGTTCAGTGTACTTGCGGTTCACTGCTGCAGTTTCCATGAAAGCCCAGGGAGACACGAAGGGGCCTGACGTCGTCACCACTTGTGACCCTCTGCGTCGCCCGCGAACGTGTCCGTCCTGAACGAGTTGTTTCTTTGCAAAGATCCTTTTCCAAGGTAGTAACAAGGACGCTAAGAAGGTAGCTCCTGGCCATACTACCAGGAGCAAGGAACTGTACTAGGAACAAAGGGCATCGCTACTAGGAACAAGGGCCTTTCTACTAGTAGCAAGAAACTACTAGGTTGAAGGCCAATACTACTAGGAGCAAGGAGTGTTTGGGGCTTTGGAAGCTGAACGATCCAAACGGATTTGCCTGCCCACTCCTTCCCTCTTGTTCCTAGTAGCTTCTTGTTCCTAGTAGTCAGGCCAGGAGCTACTAGTAGCGTCCTTGCTCCTAGTAGCGATGCCCTTCGCTACTAGTAGCTTCTTGTTACTAGTGGACCTACATCTCCCTACTCCAGCTTCTGCCAGATCCTCCTTTTTCTTCCCTTCACGCGGCCGTCGGACACGGCGCCGTGTCTTCGTGTACCGCCTCCAGTCGACGGAAGCGAATTGCCCTTGCAGTCGATCTCAGCGATCGCTCACTCCCCATTGGGTCACGATCCAAGGTCGCAGTGCCGCGACTGGGGGTAAAGATTTAAAGATTACACAATATTACACAGCTCCAGAGCAAAGGGCTTGTTGGAAGCAAACCTGTGAGCAATGATTGAAGCGATCTGGGGACCTGGTGCTTCATCTGCTCGGCTCTATGTTGATGTTCTAAATGCAGCCAAAGAAAGCCCTCTATATGTTCCCAAAGGAGGTGGGTGGACTGGATTTTCGTCGTGATGCCCACTTTGCATCGCAAAAGATACAGGATTGGCCAAGATAGACACAGGTGGAAGTAGGTCAAACACCAGGATAACTTGGTTTGTTCATGTTGGTTCGCTACATGGTGGAATGTACAAACAAACGCTATTAGGTTGGAGGCCATTGCTAGTAGGTTGGAGGCCATTGCTATTAGGTTGGAGGCCATTGCTAGTAGGTTGGAGGCCATCGCTATTTGGGTTGGAGGCCATCGCTAGTAGGTTGGAGGCCAT